TGCTTCAATAAAAGTAGGGGTGCGTATGTCTTTTCAAATTAGTATTTATTTATTCTTTGTGTAAATACCCAATAGAATTACTAGATCATATGGTAATTCTATTTTTAATATTTTGAGGAACCTCTATACTGTTTTCCAGAGCAGCTGCACCAGTTTGCATTCCCACCAACAGTGTGCAAGATTTCCTTTTCCTCCACATCCTTGCCAACAGTTGTTTTTTCTTGTGTTTATTTTAGCCATTCTGAGAGATGTGAGGTGATGTATCATTGCAGTTTTTATTTGCATTTCCCTGATAATTAGTGGTGATAAGCCTTTTTTCATGTGTCTAATGGGCCATCTGAATGTCTTCTTTGGAAGAAATGTTTGCTCATGTCTTCTGTCCATTTTTTAATTGGATTATTTATTTTGGGGTATTGAGTTGTGTAAACTCTTTATATATTTTGGATACTAACCCTTTATCATTTGCAAATAACTTCTTCCATTCAGTACGTTGTCTTTTAGTTTTGATGATTGCTTCTTTTGCTATGCAGAAGCTTATTTCCATGTAGTCCCAATAGTTCATTTTTGCTTTTGGTTTCCCTTGTTTCAGAAGACATCCCTAGAAAAATGGTCCTATAGCCATTGTCAGAGAGATACCTGCCTGTGCGCTCTTCTAGGAATTTTATGGTTTCCAAGTTTTACAGTTAGGTCCTTAGTCCATTTTGATTTCATTTTTGTCTATGGTGTTGGAAAGTAGTCCACTGTCATTCTTTTGCATATAGCCATCCAGTTTTCCAAATACCATTTGTTGAAGAGACCATCATTTTCCCAAAGTATAGTCTTTCCTCCTTTGTCACAGATTAATTGACTTATGTGCATGGGTTCATTTCTGGGCTTTCTATTCTGTTCCATTGATCTATGCATCTATTCTGTGCTAGTACCATACTGTTTTGATTACTACAGCTCTGTAGTGTATCTCAAAATCTGGGATTGTGATACCTCCAGTTCTGTTCCTTTTTTTCAAGACTGCTTTGGCTATTTGGGGTCTTCTGTGATTTCATAAAAATTTTATGATTGTTCTGGTTCTAGTTCTGTTCTAATGCTGTTGGTATTTTGATAGAGATTGCATTAAATCTGTAGATTGCTGTAGGTAATATAGTCATTTTAACATTTCTTCTTCCAATCCATGAGAATGGGATGTCTTTCCCTTTGTGTCATCTTCATTTCTTTCATCATTGTTTTATAGTTTACAGAGTACAGGTCTTTCATCTCCTTGGTTAAGTTTATTGCTAGGTAGTTTAT